GCATTAATTAAACCAACCACCACAGAAAATAAATATTTTGTCATTCATGAGGCAGTGAATAATAGTTTCACCCTAAAAAAACATTAAGAGTTGGCCATTGAGATAATTTCGTGCGGAATTCACTGCTCAATTTCTGCCTTTCGAAGAAAAAAGATACTCACCCGCAGGATATCGGAGGGCCGCAGAAATGCGACATATAGACGGAATTGCCGATGGATCTCTTGCACCAGCTCTTGCAGTCAACAAAGCAGCATTCTTCTCTGCAAAAGCAACTGCTTCAGGCCCTGTTGACCCATTAGCTCCCATAGACTCCAGAAGGGCCTGATGTGATAAAAAATAAGAGTCACATATATATGAACATAATCGTAGCACTATAATTCAGCTATGCTAGGACAAGATATCATGAACCCTAGTATAACCATTTGACTATATCAATGAAACCAACAAAGACATGAACACTTAACTCGCAACCAAAAGAATTCATGTAGTAGCTAACAACAATTTTCAATTTGTAACTTTTTGGTATCTTCCAAATAGCATCTTTCCAATTGTGTGTAATAATATATCTTACTGATTGTTACCAGACAGATGTGGAGAGAAAATACAGACCTGGGGAGTTGCTGGAAGCATATACAGTGTGTTATCAGGACTTTGGAAGAAAGCAGACAATTCTTTCTCAATGAAATCTTTCGCATTCTTAGAAATGTCTGCAACAACCTCACTAGCTGGAATTATTGTGGCCAATGCGTATTCCCTAGCAGCTAGTGGCTGCTGATTCCAGAATGCAGCAGCATCCTGAGCAAAAATCGGATCAGGATACAGAGTTATGTCAATAGCCATAATTTTGTTTGTTCTAACTTAGGGAAAATATTAGTTTGGAATATTACCATGTTGGCCTTGAGAAGAGTAGTATATATTGTTTCAAGTTCAGATCTACGAGCATCAAATTCTTCAATTTTCTTCCACTTCTGTTTTAAAGAATGTTCAGCTTCTTTCCGTTCAGCGCATAATTTATTCAGCCGTTGTATTTCAGATAGCAACGTGTTTAAGCTAGCCCTCAAACCAGCAGCTTCGCGTTCCTTGCCCCATACGTCCAACTGCCAAAGAAATTTTAATAGATTGGTCAAACAAATATACTAAACTTAAACAGGAGATTCTTTTTTTTCTGCCAACTTGAAAAATTTAGCTAA